TTTTCTGTGCAGACCTCCAAATTTTTCTTCAACTATCTTTTCTGCCTTCTTGACTCAATAGTATGTGTTTTCCTTTTCAGGGCTGACCTGCCTCACCTAGAGCCTTCTTTAGCAATTGAACTCTCCTTTCCTCACTCCCACTCTCCATTTACCATTTCACCCCCTCTAGTTCATTTTTGATCAGCAGATTATTAAATCAGAAACTGTGAAAGTCTGAGATTTTACCCTACTTGAAAGCTGACAGGTTAGCCTGCCACAGTTTTATAATACATATACCAACAGAAAACAGAAGACCCATGGGTCAGAGAAAAAGACTATTTATTACTCATGGCGAAAAAAGAAAAAGCAACCAAAGCAATGTTTTGAATCAAGCGCCCAAGCCCAATTCCTGTAAGGCAACACAATGAGAGCCAGATGTTACCTGTGTATGCAGCAAGGTGTGTTACAGGAGAGAAGCCCCCAAATGAGGAAGACAGACAGACCTTATCTTTACTCTGGAATGTAAGCAAATCTTCACCAAGGAGAGAGAGGAAGACTTTACTCCCCTGGAATATCTCCAGGGAGGGAAATGTTCTCTATATTATACCAATCAGGAGACAGATCTTCCCTCTGACCCTAAGGTAGACACTATCTCTAATTTTCAAGGATGTTTGCTGTGCAAACCCCTTGCATAGTAGAAAACCTGGCATGCAGAAACCTGCAATATTCCAATACATGATTTCCAATACAAATTTCCCTTTTCTTATCTCCTATCTTCAAATATATCTCATATAGTCTGTGCTCACTGCCTTTGTCATCTTACTTCCTTGCATTTTTTCCTGTCATTCCACTGAAAACTATTCTCTTCAACATACCTCAATCAAATGGTTGTTTCTTAATTATTCTTGACTTTTTGCAGAATTTAACAATGGCTGAACTTTCTTCCTTTCACCTCTAAACTACTCCACTGCTGTCACTAGTCTGATTCTTAAGTCTGTGTCCTTTGGTCATCTCTCTTTTCTTCACTTTTTGGGCTTTTTCATTTTAACTAATAAATGTGAACATATCACAGGTTGATTTCTCATTCTACATTTGCTCCCCCAAGTATATTCTACTTTGAGTTGCAGCTGTCACCTCTGTAGGTGATTGTGATTTACTTCTTATATTCCAAAACTCATCTGCCATCTCTATTTCTGCCTATAGCTAATAAATTTTAAAACTAAGAATCAATTCTATGACCTGACTTTTTAAAATTGTTGTCAGTGGGACTTTCATTCTATCAGTTCTTTAGAGTCAAAATCTGAGAATGAGATTGCATGGACTCACTCAAATGCAACAGTCTTTTAACTGGAATTCTTTATGCCATTCTAATCCATTGTCTACACAGTCACCTAAGAAATCACTTGAGCATAAAATCATATTACAGAGTTTGTGGGAGTTAAGGTCTAATCCTTTGACATTTTTATACAAGGTCTCCATGACTGGACGACTGCTTTCCCCTGCAGTTTCTGCTTGTGCTGTATTTCCCATACTCACCCACACCACAACAACATGCCAGAGTACTTGCTTTGACCTGAATTCACTGCTCATTTATTCAAACATTTTCTGAACCTACTGTGAACCAGGTATTATGCTGGGCACTGGGGCTATACATATGAGTAAGTTACAGTCTCTCTTAAGAGGGGAATAAAAATGTAAACAAATGCCATAAAGTATGATTTGTAATGCAGGGATACAGAGTGGTTTCCCTCTTCCTAAGGCACTTAAGGTGACAACATAAAAAATGACATAGAGTAAGGTATTGAAGGATGAGTTGGAATTTGCTCTATGACCATGAAATCATATTTCAGGTAAAGTAAAAGCATGTACAGAGGCACGGAGATGTGAAATTAAACCCCTTATTTGAAAGTTGTAAATAATTCAGAATGAGCAGACCATAAGATTGAAGATGGGGATAAAAGGATATAATGATGGGAAGGTGGAACTAGGTGATAAAAGACCTTTTCTGTATCAAGGGAGTATGGGCTTTTTCCTGGAATAGTATGATCAGATTTACTTTTTTAAAAGAAGGTGTTCCATCATAGTAATAATTTATTCAGGCAAGAATGATTGATAGATGCTAAAACTAGCGTATGGAAGTTTGACAAATAAAAGATATTTACTAGTCTCTGAATACCTCTCCACATGATACTCATTACAGTGGGAAAAACAGTAACTTAACCATGGAGAAAACTGGTAGATACCATCTTAACCAATGATCAAAGTTAACCTCACAGTAATGGGACAAATCAACATCATGAACCTCATGATATAATGCACTGAGAAGAATGCAGCACCATCATTTCTGTGGTATTCCTACCAAAACGCAAATTCTGAATCTAATCATGAGGAAATAGCTGATAAACCCAGTGAGAAGCATTCTACAAAATCACTGGTCTGAACTCTTTAAAAATGAATATCATGAAAGACAAAGGGGAAAAATGACAATTAAGGAATTAAGTATACATGAAATCTATGTGTAATGTATAATCTTGGATTTTTCCCTCCCATAAATGACATTTGGGGGACCAAATGGCAAAATCTGAGTAAGGTCTGCAGATTAGATAATAGTATTTTATCAGTATCAATTTTATGATTTTTATAATCATACTGGTTATATAAGAGAATTTCAAGTATACATTGAAATATTTAGAGGTAAAGGGCCATCACATACGCAACTTACTCTCAAATGATTTTTTAAATCATATATAGAACGTGTTCACATATAGGACATGTTTATAGCAGCATTATTCACAGTATCCAAAAGGTAGAAGCTGCACAGGTGAACATCAGTGGATGAATGTTTAAATAAAATTTGATATATACATAAAATGGAATATTATTCAGCCTTAAAAGGAAGGAAATTCTGACACATCTACATGTGTGATGTCATGGATGAACTTTGAAGACATTATGCTGAGTGAAGTAAGCCAGTCACAAAAGGACAAATGTTGTATAATTTCCCTTATATGAGGTACCTAGAGTAGCCAAATTCATAGAGACAGAAATTAGAATGGTGGTTGCCAGAGGCTGGAGGGGAGAGGAATAAGGAGTTATTGTTAGATGGATACAGAGTTTCAATTTGGGAGGATGAAAAAGTTTTGGAGATGGGTGGTGGTGATGGTTGCACAACAATGTGAATGTACTCAGTGCAATGAAACTGTACACTTAAAAACTGGTTAAATTGTAGTTTTATGTCATATATATTTTAGTACAACTTTTAGGTAAAAATAAAACATGTAGAGAGGCGAGAATAAAGGAAAAATAGCAAAATGAATAGTTATCTTCTAAAGATACAGATGGAGTTAAGAATGGAAACAGAGAGACCAATTAAAAGGCTATATAGTAGTAAAGACAAAGAAAACAGATGTATCTGAGGATGATTTAAGTGGTACAATTTGAGATTAAGAGGGTAGTATTTTAAAATCATCTATCACATCTAGCTTGTTAACCAAAATACAATAGATATGAGTAGACGCACAGGCTGCTATCTCTGCCTGAGCCTTTACCTGTCTAACACTCATTTATCCTTCATAACTTGACTCAAACGTGACTTCTCTAAGTCCTGCCTGCCTGACCCTTTACACAGTCTCTCCTCTTTCCCCTTACCTCTCACCATTTCCTGCACTGAATTAGTCTATCCCCCTTCTTAGCTGTTGTGGTAGCATCTTTTGCATTGATGACATAATGTTTCAAAATAGTTGGTTTATCTCTTTCTTCCATATACTGAGCTCCCTGAGGGCAGAAACAGTTACTGTATGTATGAATCCATGATACCCTTCATAGTGTGCGCTCAGTAACTGTTTGAATGGAATCAGTAAGTTATTGAGTACTTACACTGTTTTCCTTTATAATGTTCTGTACTTGCCTCTTTCTTTCCAGGCTCCCCCACCCCCCGCTCAAAGTTCATACTCTATTTCAGTAGTCTTGTAATTAGTCTTTCTACTTCTAGTCTGAAGTTTCTCTGCAGTTGCCTTACGTTGATGCCAGATTAATGAAATTCTGTGATTTGGAGTGCTTACATAAAACCCCTCCGTATCTTCCCATTATCTAAATAATAAAGTCCATATTCACCAGTTAGGAATTGAGAGCTTCCACAGTATGTTTTCAGAAGTTACCATGTTTATTTCAAATTCTACTTAACCTACCTGCTTAACTTTATTCGTCAAATATTTGAGGACCTGCCTTTTGCAAGGCTTTATGAAGAAAGTAAGTTCACTAAATATGATCTCATCTTTGTGTTCATTTTTTGTTCCCTTCTTTCTTTTTACTATTTTATTTCATCTTAGGGGTAAATAATATTGGGAGAACACTCACCCATATTCATATTTAAGTAAGTTGTTCCATTTTAAGACAAAACATGAGTGATATAATGAAGTTTAGAATAGGTGGCAAGCCATCCTGCCCATTGTCTGGCTTATTTGCAAAACAGAAACAGACTCACAGACTTAGAGAATGAACTTATGGTTACCAAGGGGAAGGGTAGCAGGGAGAGATAGTTAGGGAGTTTGGGATTGACGTACACACTGCTATATTTAAAATGGATAACCAACAAGGACCTACTGTATAGCACAGGGAACTCTGATTGATATTCTGTAATTATCTAAATGGGAAAAGAATTTGAAAAAAGAATAGATACATGTATATGTATAACTGAATCACTTTGCTGTACACCTGAAACTAACACAACATTGTTAATCAATCCAATGTAAAAAATAAGTTCAATAAATGTTTAAACTGAATTAATTCTGTTTAAAAATATAGAAATTTAAGATTATACCATAGAAAGTTATTAAATTATTGTATTAAACCTTTGGAAATCTGCCTATGTTTTCTCCAGCGTAGTTCAACTGTTAACTTTTGAGTTTTACTTGCTATCTATTATTATTTGTTGTATCACTTTGAAACACAAAATCAAAACAAATTTAAGAATACTATATTACACGTGTTTTCAAAACTTTCTTTCTGTACTCTCTTTATAGGTTATATGTAAAGTCAGATGTGCAACTGAACTTGACAAACACAAGTAAGTTTCATGAGTAGCAAGATCTATATTTTTTTTCACAGTACACTTACCAAGGTAGAAGGGCTTTGTAGTTGAGGATGCCTTAGGAGTTTTATAGAAGATCAAGTAGTTAGGTTAGTTCATAGGAAGTGAATTGAGTAATCTGGTCATTCCCCTTCAGCAGTATTGCTGCCAAACACCTTTTTTTGCTGCTCTGTCACTGGCCCACTTCAGATGTCAGATGTTTTAGTACTGATTCATAGGGTCCACAAATAATCAAGATAGATTATGCTGTTTAAAGTAAGAATATATAGTACAGTTCCATGAAATAAGTAATATTTCAGTACTGATTCACCTAAGAAATGAGGTTGCTAAACCTGGGAATCAGAAGCCTTGGGTTTCAGACCAATTCTCCCACAAACTTGCCAGCTATGCAACTCATCTAACCTCTTAGTGCTTTGTTTCCTAAACTACTATAATCCCCTGGATGCATGGATAATCTCAAGGTCCATTTTGGGTTTCAAAGTATAAAATTATTATTTTTATTATTTAATCTGAGAGAATATTAAGATCTAAACTTCTCAAACTAAAATCTTTGTACTTTGCATGTATACTTAATAAAGATTGCTTGTTACAGATTACACATTACCTTCAATTTTTCCTTGTGTAAATTACTCCCAAAGGCAAACAACATTTTATGATTCTCACTATTGAAAGTGACCAAAATGGAACATATTAGAATGGCAAATAAATTTCTAGATCATGTTAATTTGGGGTATAAATGTATTTGAGCTAGGATTACTTTCATACAGGAAGCTGTTCCAGCCACTTGATACAGACAGCCACACCTTACCTGAAGAGTTTAAAAATTAGAGGTGGTCCAATTTTTTTTAGGGGGAAGTGGTTAAGCATTTTACTTTGGGAGTAGTTCTGTACGCATAGTAAATATGCAACTTTATAAGAAGATGAGGTATTGATGAGTGTGTGAAACTACGTGTATTGTCCCTATGTTCCTCTTTAGTCTTGTTTGAAAGAAGTGTTTGCTATAGATAATCAGATGTTCATAAAACTGAACATTGTTTAAAACACATTTCCCTTACCTCTTAAAGTTAATATTAGTGATCAATTTAAATTTATATACTGTATATTAATTTTCCAAGCAAATTATAAAAACCTGATAATTCTTAGAATGGAAAGGTCAATGAAAATGTGCTCAGCAGTTACAAAAATGAAAAATTCAGGATTACTTGAATTAATGTTAAAATAGTCCAATATTATTCTTCCTGGTAGAGACAACTGAATTCAAGTCCACATGAGATTATTTTTAAATTAGTGCTTTAGAATCTCATGCCATTTTTAAATGGCTTAGATACTAATTTCATAATGGCAAAAATATCCCAAGTAACTCTGAGTAGTTATTAAATTTGTATTAAATTAAATTACAAGCAGTTTAAACTGAAGGAATTATTGTACTTAAAGTAAGTACACACTAATTCAGTATTGTTTAATTTCTCATTAGTTTTATAAACATCTAATAAACTCATTTTTTTCTTTCAGAATTCTGTTGCATTTGGGCTTTATATTGGCAAGCCTTCTCTTTTTAGTGGTGAACTTGACTTGTGCAATGCTAGTCCATGGAGATGTCCCAGAAAATCAGTTGAAATGGACTGTGTTTGTTCGAGCATTAATTAACGATAGCCTGTTTATTCTTTGTGCCATCTCTTTAGTTAGTTACATATGCAAAATTACAAAAATGTCATCAGCAAATGTCTACCTCGAATCAAAGGTAAGTATATTTCTTAAATTTATACTTGAAAATCTAACTTCAAATCTTCATCCTATGAACCGTATTTTAATGGAAATTTTATAATTCTTTAGAAAGCATTCTGAATGTCAGGTACATTTTTGAGCATGAAAGAATGATCACAAGAAATTAAAAGGTATTCAAAACTGAGCCCTTACTAAACAATGTTTTTTTAAAAAAAGCAGCTCATCATGAGCATATTGTATTTTCTATGACTTATATCCTCTACACTGGAGGCTAATTAAATGATATAAACCAGAATTTATACAAATGTATCACAAATAGTCTAATATACAAAGCCATACTAACAACTGAAGATTTCATCAGTAAGGGTGACAGTATTGCCGTTAAACAAATTTACCGCATCATGTCTATTCGTATTTGGGTTAGCAATGTTAAGATGTCATATTGGTAAAGGAGTGTTTATTTGTATAAAGGTTTAGAAAATGTTACTTCACCCCATAATATGAAGTCCCTATGACATTTGAAACAACTAGTCATGTAACTAAATTTATAAATGCCTTGCTTCTCCCTTTCCTTATACTTTGGGTCAGTAAACAAAAACCAGTGTTAACCTATTAACAGAAAACCATGAATGTTTCTACTGTTGTTGATTGACAATGTGGTTGAGTGATGAATCAGTGTCCCAGTGTATGTATGGCATTGGATGTGGGGCATAGATGTATGGATATTGGCTCATAGCCCATCGCAGGCTGAGTTCCTCATCTATGCTTCCAGGGTGGTGTTGGACTCATTGGGCTTATGCACACATACAAGCTTGCTTTAATGTGGCATCATTGCCTATTCACTGAAGATAAACAAGATAGTGTCTTAAACAGAACAGTCTTCTGAAATATTTTTAGACTTCTATATTGTTATCATCCTTAATATAGTCCTACTAAAGTTAATTAAATGCATGGTAATTAACTTGTCCTTTAAGTTTATGTGGAGATATTACCTTTATTTTTTAAACATATATCAGAAGAAATATAAATATAGAAATAAAAATAGAAATAGAGGAGAGAGAGAGACAGACAGACAGACTCACTTTCAACCCATTAATCTCACCCAGAAAATTATTTTATTCAACTTTGAAACTTTTACTTCCTAAAAGTTAAATATTTTAGCTAACTCTGGCTTCAGTTTCAGTGTTAAGAATAATACACTCACTGTTGTTGTGGTGCATAACCTTTTGGTGTAGCAACAGCATCTTTTCATAGTGTGATAACATCACCATAGAATCCATACCTCTTGTTGTCTAGTGATAAAGCATACAGAGATGTGGTTGAATTTAAAGAGCTTCTTTTCTGGATACCTAGCAACTTTCTAAGTTTGGTTTTACTCACTCTGATATAGAAAATTCTTTGAATAGAGTTAAGTTGCCAGTCTCAGGAGGGAAGTTCATCTGATAACTCCTCCAGAATTATTTCAAATACCTTTCCCTCGCTATCATATGAAAGGTATTAAATTTAAAAGGTACATGGATTCAGAATTCTCTAGGAACACTACAGAGAAACATATTCAAATACACACCTATAAAGGTAAATATAATATGAGATATTCGATTATTTGTATTATATGTTCTGTAGTTCTTGGTCTTCCTAATTAGGGTATAAACTTCTTTATTCAAATAGTACGTCATCTTGCTTTCACATTCTCTTTGTAAAATCACTAGGCTCATTTTTGTGTTTTGACCTCTATAACAACATATAGTCATGGCCATTTCTTTTATTCAATCAACAAATGTCTCTTGAGCATTTATATCCTCCACTTTCAAACTGACCTTGTTTCTTGCTATCTCTCAGAGAGTTTCCTTAAAGTTCAGACTTCAGTCTGTTTTTCTCTTTATTCTTCCCTCCTCCTTCTACATATTTGGTGATAATGAGATCCTCCATGATTTGTCTCAACCAATCTTACCTACCTTATTTCTAAATGGCACACAGTATGCTTCCCTGTCTGTATATCCTTAGGCCATTTCATCTTGCAGGAGTGTTTTTCCCTCCCAGTGCTCTATTCCTCTTTGTCCTTATCTTACCCAACTTTAAAGGCATAACTCTAATGTTACCCCTTTTTATGACCTCAATTTGGTCCCTTCTCCTCCATCTCCAGAATAAAATTTAGAAATAACTCTCTATCTGAATTCTTTTAAATTTAATTTTATTCTTTTAGCAACTAGACCAGTGCTGTGATTTGGTTCTTTTTCAAAGTAGCAACTCTAATTTGCGTTTTAAATATTAGTTATTGTCAATTTGAATAGTTTATTTCTGCTCTTTCGCTTTTTAATTTTAGTTACTTTGTTCCATATCTATGTTCTTATATAGATACTTAATTTATTATTTTGTAAACTAATAAAGGTATTAAGAGCAATATGTTTTCTCAAGTACTGCCTTGGCAGCTTTCCATAATATCGTTATATTATAGCAGCATTCTTATTTAACAAAAACAAAGAAAATTTTTCCGTTTGGATTCCAGCCATGTCTCAAATACTACATATTTACACATCTCTACATATAGATAGATACTATCTCTACACTCCCTTTGGAGTGAATTACACGTTATCTCTACATATAGATAGATACTATCTCTACACTCCCTTTGGTGGAAAGTGAATTTACGTTATCTCTACATATAGATAGATACTATCTCTACACTCCCTTTGGTGGAAAGTCTAAAATTCAGATATCTGTCCTCTTCAGGCCCCCTAACTTCCATAAGAAATTATCAGTTTTACCCTCTGCTTGATTGTCCATGCATACGAATGTGGCCTACTAAACAATGTAGAATTTCTGTACTCCAGGTTCTTGTTAGAAAAAATTTACTATCAACTGTTAAATTCAAAGGCTTAATTGCTGGAAAAATTACCTGAAGTATGTACAGTCTGTCCATTTCCCTGTCTATTCCATATCTTCTCCTCTGCCCAATCCAGTTCATTATAGAGTTGTATTCTGAGACTGCATTGTACCCTGGATAGAATTGTCTTTCCCAACATATACTGTGACACTATGCTTTGGCCTACGTCAAGAAATATGTACGAAATTCTTATAAGAAACATTTATTTTAAAGTCTCTACTGTATTATGTTGTTAAGGACATTGTCCATACAATCAGTGTTCCCTAGAAAAGATCTTTTCCTCCAATTCAATACTAGGTAAAACATTATTGATTAAATTCTTATTTTCCCTGGCTACTATGTTGTTCAGAGGCAAATATGTGACTCACCATTATATCAATCGTAGATGACCTTATGATACTCATTTTTGTTTCTGGGTCTACCTCTATTTTCATCTCACTTTCTTACCCCCACCCCCGCACATTCCTATGTTTATTTTTTATTCTGTGTGTATCTCTGTAACTACTTCAAATTCTCTTTTGCAATGAGGGTGATATAAATAAAAACTGGGATTGGATATACTTTGGGATATGTTTATATCTCTTTTTCAGGTATATTGATTTTTTAATTAATATGAAAAGACCTTAGTGAGAGACAGTTTATCACAGTGATTAAGAGCTGGAAACCTGGGGCCAGAGAGATAAGGATCTAAATAAATCCCATCACTCCTGCTCATTGGCTGTATGACATTGCACAAGTAACAGTACATCTAAGCATCACTCTCCTGATCTGTAAAATGGAAATAATGACAGTATTGATCTCATAGTTTGTTTGAGGGTAAAAGTAGTACCTACCTTATAAAGATGTTATAAGAATTAATTTAAAATGCATATAAAGTATTTAGTATAATACCTCGCACTTGGGAATGCGCTAACTTACAAATGTTAGCCATTATTATCCTAATGTGTACTAAGGGATGGTAATGTAGCTTCAGGAAGTTCTTGAATACCTGAAATTATTGGCAAGTTGTATCTGGAGACAGATCCTATATATGTAATCAAATTCTCAAAAGGAACAGTATAAAAGAATAAGGATTACCTGAAGAACAGGATCTCTCTTTTAAATAATTTATTGTAATTTTATTTGACTCTATTTATATCCCATCCCACACAGATTTTGTAAGGGTTGAAGTCTCTGATAGATTACATTTCATTGTTTAACTCATTTTTCTTAGAAATTTTTGGAACATGTATTGTTAAAATTATGTAATGGCCTTTTTATTTGTTTTTTTTTTTCTTTTCTTGATATTAGCTTTTAAGTTTTTGTCTATTGCTGACATTTCAAGTGTGTCTCATTAACTTTAAACAAAATACTATATAGTTTTTTTTTATATAAATTCTTTATAGGGTAAACAAATAGTTTATATTTATTGATATGATTGTTGGTATTGGTCCTTTTCTCCCATTAAGGTTTTTTATTGCTGTTTGCTTTGCCTTTATTTGTATGATTTCTGTGGTATATTTGAATTTATTTACTTATATCAGAATTATAACTTTTAACATTAAAATGCATACAATAAAATTATTTTTATTCTAATATTCCTTTCCATTTTAGAAAAAAATAAGCATATTTATAAGAATATAGGAGACATATCATTTTTAATGGAAAAAATAACCGATTGGCACAAAAAGGTGTAAACCGATGGTAGATGCTTAGTCCCTATAATGGCAAGTTGGAATTATCTATATGAAAGACCACTCAAAGGTGGGGTGGGAATAAAAGTTAAGCTTTCAGCCTTACATCTCTGGTCAAGGACACATACAACTTTATACCTGGATAAGAGTGTAAAAGGAATCATTATCTGACTCAAGGTCAGCTTATCTCCCTGCCCAGTTAGCCATTTACAAATAACGCATTTTCTCTCTCTCTCCCGAATGTCTAACAGTTTTAATTACTATGTAAACCTTTCTGTCCCGTGTTCACTCAATCCTTGAGCCATATTAATTAACTTATTAGGATGGAGGCATCATTAGCATCTTGCAGAGACACAATAACATTCAGCTAAACTACATTTCTGATCTTTCATGCAGACCAGCTGATCCTATAAGACTAAAGAAGGAGTGTATGGTAATTTAGGCCATAATTAAAGAAAT